CGGTTGTGTGATTTTTTATTTTTTTTTAATCATCATTTTCTGTTTGGCTGCTCTATATTGTTCAGATGTGGGCACAATTCCTCTAGACTTCAGGCTATCTCTTATTGGGGATTTTGGTGTCAAAAGTCCAGTCTGAACAGAACCATGGTCCCTCCAGAAGAAGGTCTACACTTCAAGGCTGGATGCCCCAAAGCAGAAAGTCAGGTGTGTCTTAAACACCTTTTGTTGAGCAAGCCACAATGGGTTTGCTTTGTGCAGCACACTACATTGTAAATAAGAGTTCACAAACCACAGTGTCTGGCTGGGCATGAGCTGTAAATGACATGAAATAGGGGGTGTCTGAGCATTCTGCATGAACCAGCCAACCTTAGCTGAGCAGGAGTGCAAAAGGTGGATTCTTAGTTTGTGGTGCACCATGGGTGATGGGATACACCTAGCTTGCACCAGAAACTCAGATGAGCCGTGATGGCACAGTGGTTAGACTACAGTACTGCAGGCTACTTCTGCTGACTGCCGGCTGTCAGCAGTTCGATCCTGACCGGCTTAAGATTGACTCAGTCTTCCATCCTTCTAAGGTTGATAAAATGAGGACTCAGATTGTTGGGGGCAAATAGGCTGACTCTGTAAACCGCTTAGAGAGGGTTGTAAAAGCACGGTGAAGCGGTATATAAGTCTAAGTGCTCTTGCTCTCAATGGAGACTGCCAATGGCCAAGGGAACGCCAGAGAACGAGGCTTCGTCCCCAAAGCTTGCCTCTGGTTTCTGCCAGTCACCCGGAAGTGAAGTCTTTGCTTTGTGTTGTGTTGTGTCCTCTTCCCTTCAGGAGCCGTGGAAATCAAGGTCTCCGAAGACCCCGTGGTGGCCCTCGTTGGCCATGACGCTATTCTCCACTGTTCCTTCTCGCCGGAGGCCAATTTCAGCCTGAACGACCTCAGCCTCTTCTGGCAGGTGACGGACACCAACCAGCTGGTGCATGGCTTCACGGAAGGTCAGGAGCAGCCAGCGTACCAGGGCAGCACTTATGCCAACCGCACCGCCCTCTTCTATGACCAGCTGGCCCTCGGCAACATGTCCCTGCTGCTGCGCCGAGTGCAGATCTCCGACGAAGGGAGCTTCACCTGCTTCGTCAAAGTGCGGGACTTCAGCCGGGCAGCTGTTACTCTGCAAATGGCAGGTGAGCTTCAAGCAAGGTGAGGGGTCAGGTTGGTTCTCGAACCACAGGTTGTCCTCCACTTACAACCGTTTGTTTTAGCGGCCGCTCGAAGTTACAACGGCACTAAAAAAAAAGCGACTTAATGACCGTTCTTCACACTTGTGACCCTTGCAGCGTCCCCATGGTCACGGGATCAAAATTGGGATGCTTGGCAACTGGCTCGTGTTTACGACAGCTGCAGGTCTCCTTTTGCGACCTTCTGACCAGCCAAGTTAGTGAGAAGCCAGATTCGCTTAACAACCGGGTTAACAACTTAACAACTGCAGTGAGTCGCTTAACAACAAGAAAAATAGTAAAATGGGGCAAAACTTACTTAACAAGGGTCTCGCTTAACACTTAGCAACATAAATTTTGGGCTCAATCGTGGTCATAAGGCAAGGACCACCCGTGCTGATGTTTTAAGGGACCGCTGTGTAGAAAGTCAACTGCAAGCTTCTCTGCTGTCAGTGAGGAGACCGCCTTCCTCACCAGACCAGAGAGATGCTGTTGAAAAGAAGATCAGAAAATCTCTGTTCTGCCAGACCAAGAATATATCGGTAGTCCTTGACTTATGGCCTTAATGGAACCTGCCCATTAAGGTCATAACAGCAACATCAATAGCACTTAAGACTTACATACTGCTTCACAATGCTTTACAGCCCTCTCTAAGTGGTTTACAAAGCCAGCATATTTGCCCCCAACAATCTAGGTCCTCATTTTACCATGCTCGGAAGGACGGAAGGCCGAGTTTACCTTGAGCTGGTCAGGATCAAACTGCTGGCAGTGGGCAGAGTTAGCCTGCAGGACTGCATTCTAACCCCTGCGCCACTGGGGATTCCCACAACATAAGTTGTGAGATCTTAAAACGGGTTATCCCCATGACCGACCTGATCTTATGACCTTTGTAGTGATATTGTTAACAAGGCCCTGGTGGTTAAGCCAAACCATTGTTTGTTGTGGGTCAGTTTTGTCAAAAATCAGACGTAAAAGCCAATTTGGGGCAGAAACATTGTGAAATGCAGTCACAGGATTGCAGGGGATGAAAACAGCTGCAAGTGTCGAGTGTTTGGGCATGTCTGGGAGCGAGGGGTGGCTGTCAGAACTTTGGAAATGGTCGTGAGTGCTCCCAGGGAGATCTGTTGTGACTTTGAATGGTCATTAAGGGACGGTCATACGTCAAGGACAACCTGTGTTGATTCCAAATAGGGAATTGTTCAGTTGCTGGAATTCTTCTAAAAGTCCACCTGTTTGTTTCATAAATCTTGCTAAAGAGAACTCTTGTTTGAGGATTTAGGCAAGCTGCCAAAGAAACAGACAGTGAAAATCTCTCTGAATCTGAGTCCCAAACAGTCATTAAGCAAAGTTTGCTAGGTTGCTGAGGGTCAGGCCAAGTGATCGTTAGGTAAGTGATGTGGGAGGACCAATTATAACTCATTTTTTTCCATTGTAGCTTGGGATGGTTGCTAATTAAAGGACTGCAAATTGAGGGCCTCCTGTATTGCTGTGGGTTTGGTCATGAACCATCCCTGATCCGTTCTTCTCCTGTTTTAGCTGTCTACTCCAAGCCGAACATGAATTTGGAACCCAGCAAGAATCTGAAGCCGGGTGACCTGGTCAAAGTGAGGTGCCACAGCTTTTCGGGGTACCCTGAAGCTATTGTGCTCTGGCAAGATAGCCACGGCAACAACATCACTGAGAATATCACCACCTCCCAGGTGGCCAATGAGCAGGGCCTCTTTGATGTCCAGAGTACCCTCCAGGTGCTGCTTGAACCTAACAGCACCTACAGTTGCCTGATCAAGAATCCTTTGCTTCAACAGTTGACCCACGCTTCCGTCACCATCACAGGTCTGTGCCTTGCAGGGACAGGGTGATGTCTGGGATAGTCAATGAGTAGGGGGTCTTTACTGGGTGTTCTGGGATGCAGGGTAGACTTAGCTGGAACTGCAGACGTCTGTGGAATAAAGAGTGGAGTAGAGGAGTGGAGTGGAATAGAATAGAATAGATTGTAGAATAGAATAGATTGTAGAATAGAATAGAATAGAATAGAACAGATTGCAGAATAGAATAGAATAGAATAGAATAGAATAGAATAGAATAGAATAGAATAGTCGTAAAATGGGGCAAAATTGACTTAACTGTTTCATGAGCAACGGAAACTGTGGGCTTGATTGTGGTTGTATGTCAAGGACTACCTATATTGCAATGGCATCCGCCAGTTAGGTAAACAGAAGCCGACAACTGTCTCTACTTATGTAGATTGTGTGGCTATGTTTAGTTCCCTTTGTCATGTTCTTATCATGCGCTAAATAAATAAATCACACCGCAGCTATTGCAAGCTGCAAGACTTCCCAAACCTGCCCAGACTAGAACGAATTGCGGGACTGCAGCCTTCAAGGATCAACTTTGGCTGAAGTCTGACCTTTTTCTCTGAGCGGTCTTAACTCCGCTCGCCTGGCCAACCCATCTTTGCCAGCCTTCCAGATGTCTTCGAGTCATTTCAATTTTTATAGACTCCCCCAAGCTCTCGCTAACCTTCTTCACTTGACGGTAACATTAATTAGGGTTTAATTGTCCTTGGCACAGCAATTGCTGCTTTGTGAAAGAAGGTCCCTTCGGGAGCATAAACATTTTGGTTAAACACACGATGCCACTTGATGGAGCCCAGTAGGGTGGGACATCTGCTGGAACTGTCTTCGTGGGGGGCAGCAAAGGAAATGCAAATGAAACCGACATCCATCTTGTTAGCCAGGGGGCCCCAAGCCCCGGGCCCTTGACCAGTATCAGCCTATTTGCCCATTGGGAATCTGGCCGTGCAAGGGACGGGCGAAGCGTGCAAAACTCCATTTACACCGAGTTTTGCACGTGAGCGTGCACACACCTGCCACTTACACGGAACCGTCCCCTCTTCCCCCCCCCCCCGCTGCTGTCACCACCCCCACTGGTCCACAGAACTGGAAAGGTGGGGGACCGCTGTTGTACAACTGGAATATACAGGTAGTTCTCGGCTTACAACCACAATTGAGCCACAGATTTCTATCGCTAAGCAAGGCGTCCCATTTTATGACCGTCGTTAACTGTCTCACCGCAGTTTCTAAGTTAGTAACACAGTTGTTAAGTGAATCTGGCTGGCAGACTTTGCTTGTCAGAAGGTTGCAAAAGGGGATCACGTAACTCCGAGACACCGCCACCATCATAAATATGAGTCAGTTGCCAAACATCTGAATTTTGATCACGTGACCATGGGGATGCTACAATGGTCATAAGTGTGAAAAATGGTCCTAAGTCCTTTTTTAAAAGAGCCATTGTAACTTCCAACGGTCACTAAACAAACGGTGGTAAGTCCAGGAGGACCCGCATACCGTTGCGAGAAGGAATTTCCCAGAATTTGGCATGAAAAACAACCCTCCTTAGCATTCTCTCATCTGGGAGTAAACCTTTGGCCCAGATCAGCTGTGTTAACAGTTTTTCCTTCACTAATTAAAGGAAAATGTACCTTGCAAACAGATGTCCCAGTTGTGCTCAAACTCAAACTCTTTCATCTTTGGAGCCTTGTCTTAAAACTTGGAACAAAAGGGGAGAAACTGAACAGATTTTAGCTTCCTAAAAAGCAGCGGTGGCTTGGCAGCGCATCAAAAA